TTATTTGATTCTAAGGGAAGAAGGCTGGGGGTGATTAGGGTATGATAAAAAAAAAAAAAAAAGAGAGACACACCAAACTGAAGATAATGCTGGGGCTTTTTTTTTTTTTTTTTTTTTAATATTGGCACTAGTATAAATGCAGAATCCAAAAATGCACGAATATGAAAAAGCATAGAAGACAAACATTTCTATCTATTTATAACAAAATGCACTTAGTTACTTGAAACTATAGAAGCCCTACTTTAAAAGTTGAGCTATTCTGCTTCTGCCATCTGGTTTGGAAGAGAAATAACCATAAATGTACCTTCTAGACTTTATAAACATATGGACAAGTAAAATACAAGCATGAAATTATCTAATTATCATAAGCGAAATCTGACTCAGCAGTTTCTGTAACTCCATCAATACAGTGATGGTATGTTAAATATAATATGTACGTTGTGTAATGTTGCTTTAACAGATATTAGTTTAACAGTAAAACAACATAGTTACAAAGCGATCTTTAATTTTTATTATCATTGTAAGCAGTATTGTAATTTTTAAATTAAAAAAATATGTTTCTTGGTAGAATACTCATAGTACAACTACTTAAATGCAAAGGTTTCAAGAATTTTTATGTTTAAAGTATGAAACACAATGGCTTGATTATGCTATCTGATATGTTAGGAAAAAAAAACCCAGTATCTGCATTCATAGTGTTTGAATTTAAATTTTAATGAAATACAGCTCCAACAGGATACTTCAAATTACTGATAGGAAGCAAAGTGCTATTTCCCTTACCTAGATATATTGTTGAAGCTGAGGAAGAGACGTTGGAGATGGGGCAAAGTATCCACATCTTTCTAGAAGGAAAGATAGAGGCATAAATTCAGTAGCTGAAAGTAGCTTTTGAACCTCTCTACTTCGCCTGATGAAACGCTTTCATTTCTATACGCTATAACCTTGCTGCAACATTGATTTCTGTTGAACGTGCAGCTCCACTTCTCCCTAGTGCAGACTGCAAGGGAGTGTTTCAGTGCAGATATCCCCTCTGCAGAACAAGCTGCATCACTTGCAAAGCAAATGATGTTAAAGAAAAAAGGATAAGGCTGCTGCTGGTTTCTGAACAGGCTTTTAGGAAATAAGCCAAGGTGCTGTCTCAGCATAAGCTGCAGGATAAACACACTGTAAAAAAAAAAAAAAAAAAAAAAAAAAAATTCTTTTCTGACCATGCTGAAATAAGGTTTTTGAAGTGCAATATAGCACTGCAATTAGCACTACCAAACAGCAGTGACTCTTCTGCCAGAGAATCATCTGAAGGACTCTGTCACCTTTACAATTAAAATTTATAAGGAAGAATGAGTAATTGTGAATATATGCCACTAAAGACGTTTGCAGAAAACCTCTAAATAGCAAATAGCTCGAATATTAATAAGATGAAACATATTAAGTAGATCAAGTGTTATTTATGAAATATAAATCCATAATGGCCTGACAGCACAGTCTGCAGTGATTCATATACCATTCAGATTGCACACCTAACCTCTCAGTTATAAGTCTGTATCTCCTTATCCCGATACGGACCATCTCTCAACTTGCAACCAGCTGTTTCTTACAGCACAGGGAAGTGTCACAGGGCTCACTGCCTTGATTTAGGGCTCACTACCTTGATTTTAGCCACAAAAATAAAATCTACAGCCCTTCCTCCCTCCATCTGATTTGTGACATAGTGTTCCAGAAATAGAAACAGTTCATTCTATCCAAACAAGTGAATGCAAGGCAGCTCTAAACAAACTGTGTAGCTGCTATTAATGAAACACTGAATGCGAGGTAACAAGCATTGCTGAGAGTTATAGCTCTATATACCATAAGCAGGGCTTATCAGCTCAGGTCTGCAGACCATGGAAAGACTGAGTTCACAACAGAATTACATCTGGACATCCCATAGTGTTGATGCTTAAAAGGGTGGGCGCGCATGATACAGGTGGATATCCACATGAAGACAGGCATTATAGGTCTGTGCACAGTAATTCTTCAGCAGCAAGGATTTTAACTAATCAAAGAATTTTGCATAGGAGAATAGAAAGTAATTTCCCCTGAAGACAAGTTTCTGTAACTAGCATAATATGTTGCTGTCCTTTAAAAATATGTTGCAAGTCTCACAGGCATGACAGCAAGCAGGTTAAGTAGGATAAAAAAAAAAAAAAAAAAAAAAAAAAAAAAAAAGCCTCCACCTACTTCAGTTTTGATACAAAGTCATGTAGGGCAGTGGACATATAGGCCAGGACTTCCTTCCTGAAAAGACGGTTGACACCTTGACCAGTCCTCCTTCAAGTCTAAGGTCAAACTGCAGATGACAAAAGCCCAAATTCTAAGCTTTTGATACCTCCAAGCAATCAAGCAGGTCTGTGTTTCAAACAAAAATATAGTTTGTTTTCCTAACAGTGGATCTTAATTCACTACTGGATGGAAAGTAAATAGACATTCCATGACTCATGGTATGTACAGATTCACATTTTTACTGCCATACAAGACACTTTGTAATCATTTATTCTATCTGTTTGCTAGTCTCAGAACAGTCAGACTTCTTGAAGACACTTCCAATCCTGTAAGGTATTATTCTGCTACAAACCAAGCCTCAGGACTGCCTTTTTAAATCCTACAGATGTGGATGAACTACAGTAAATTCTTACAAAAATAACTACTTGTGAATCAAGGATTTCCAGTCTCTAATTAATACCTCAAAGAGGAAAAAAATGGTCCCAAAATTGCTAATTTAAGGCCAGCAGGTTGTAAGAGATGATTATGTGTTTAATTGCTCAAACAAGCTATAATCTCGTTGGATAACTTGAATTATCCAATATAGTTAACGGATATGGAGTTCAGTGTGGAACCTCATTCTGTTTGGCAAACGAGAGTATCATCTTTCCTACACAATAATACATTTAGAGTGTGTGTCAAAAATAAGGAAGGTTCACAAAAAATGTACTGAAACAGAAAGTTATTTAAATTATATTGATTTAATTTCATTATTTTGGGACGGCAAACTTTTAAAAATAGAGGATAGGTTCTTTCATAAAGGAATAATCAAGTTTAAAAAGCTTGATTCATAATGACAGTGTTGTCATAGTAACTGAGTAACTAAAACGCAGCCCAAAACCTAAAACACAGAAACTAAATTCTTCTAATGAACTTAGAGTGAAAATTTTGCAGTTAAGTGCTACTTCATAACTATATCATGATTCAAATGACAAACACACACCCCCAACAGTCAACCACAAGAAAATCTAAACCTCAACTTAAAGAAATCTAAACCCCCTTCCTCAGCTACTCAAGTACTCCAGCAATAATATAACAGTACCTTGGATATTCTCTCCACAAAATGATACATTTGTTTCTATGTTTCTGGATTTTCAGTCATTTCATATTGCAGTAGATTCTGAACTTCAATACAAAACTAGTGCAGCCTTCATATTTTCAAAATAATTAAAACAAATTTAAGTAAGGAAATACATGTACATTTTTGCACACAGAGAAAGAGACAAGACCTATCATTAAAATAAGAAAGATATTTTATTGTAGTAGAGACACCAATTTATTCTATGTTTCAGACAGTATGACATGTCCAAGACTTGACTTCATATGATTTAAGAGTCCTTCTCTAGAGGAAGGACAGTTAGCGTCATACTTGCTAAAATCACCATTCAATTAAAAACAAAACAAAAAATCCACACACACACACCCCACACCACACCATTCCATTAGAATTTAAGCAGGGGGTGGGCAAAAAACCAAGCCAAAAACAATTAGACAAAATAAAGTACTTCCCCGAACAGAATGCCATCTTCTGAAACACTGTCTCTGGCCAGAAAAGCCTAAGACATTGAGATACAGCACAGAGTCCAAGCCTATAACACACTAACTTAAATTTCATGCTGACTCTCTATTTGTGACAACAGGAAACAAGAAGTACAAGCTACACCTGAGAGGAATGAAAAGGCAGTAGCTACAAGCAAGACAGACAATTCTTGCTAGGTAACATAACTGATATGGGGGAAGGTACAGTAGCAGACTCAGCAATGAGCAGAAATTTCTTATTTTTGAAGTGTAAAAACAATTTGTATATGACAAGTAGTGGAAATTCAAGAAAGGAAAGGCTCAGCAGCAATAGGAGAGCAAGTACTAAAGGAACTAGGAGGGCCAGAAAAATACAGCTATTTAAGCAGACTTACTCTATTATTTTAAAAAGGGCTTGTTCAAATAATCTACTTGCCATACCTGAACTACAGCTCATGAACTGCAAAGTGAAAAGCTTTATTTTTTAGAACATAAGGACTTACAATTCTAGGTTAAAGCTTCAATTGGGAAATTCTGCTTTTGAGATCAATACCTATTTTCTCTGCATTTGCACCAGAAATGTTCATAAGGAGATGAAATTTAAGATGGTCTGACTGCTTAGCTGAGCTACAGAAATTAAGAGAAGGTTTGTTTCTAGAAAACAAACTTGTATGGAAGAAAAGTATCTAAATTTGTACGTTAGAACCACAAAGCTTCTTCAGAATTTTCCCCCCCTCCCCACCCCAAGAACCATCATGAGCTATCAAGATTTGAATCACTACCTATGATCATATTTAAACAAAATAACACCAAAAATAAATTTGTCTGTTTCACCTTTATATTGTAAAAGTAGGTATTGCAGCAGAACAACACAGGCAACACAATACAGTAAAACATGAGATTTCACAAATCTGAAGTGCTGATATGATTTAAATCAGTTACTGTGATAGTGCATTTTTTTTGAAAACAGAGGAAAACTAAAAGAAAAGAGAAAAAGACAAGAGTTTGGTTCCTTACTATAGCAGAGACTTGATTATGACGAAGGTTGAGCTCTGTAAGCGAATCCAGTCCATTAAGGTTTTCCACAATTGTTAGTAGGTTTCTGGCAAGGTTTAACACTCTCAGTTCACTCAAATGACTGATGTTTTCTATTTTAGTAATCTGTGAAAGAATTATAAACATTCATACTGTGTTTTATATAGATATAAACTAGATATGTGTAGCACATACATTTTTTTAAAAAGTATACATGAACAATCAACATCATACAATGGTGTGCTTCTTGTATATTTTTCTAAACCATGATAATCATGTCATAAATTGCTGAAAACAAGCTACGGACTGCTAGAGATTAAGTACTAGTATTCACTTCACTAACATTGTTCTAGTCCTACCGCAGTAAATCAGTCAACACTTTCTTCCTTACCATCACAAATTGTTACTTCAGCTACGCTGTTCTGTAGCAGCAACCTCAAAAACACCATAAAACTAAGATGACATTGATGATGGTATGCCAAAATGGCAAAATTTTGTGCACAGTTAATCCTTAATTTGTCTGCAAAGGCACTCAAACACCCATCCGGATCTCCTGGTACTTATGCTACCAGAATACATGGCACCGTATCTCCCTACATCACAAAACTCTGCACCAATTTCCCCTCATGCCTCTTAAAAAGCCAGTAGCAGCATTCACAGCTCTATCTACAGGAGCTCCATAGACAGATTTTCCAGCAGGTCATGAGGACAGGAACCTGCTGTGAGTCAGAGGCAAGGAGCAGCCACAGCCCTCTGGAGAAGAAAGCAATTATTCCGAAACTGGAACTTGTAAGGAAGTTTTACGAGCAGGTAATTGCTAGAATCAGTAAGACATACTCAAAAGTTAGAAAAGAAAGCAGCAGCATCCTTAGTTTGGATACACAGCACATTTGCTTGACAGTCCTCAGCGCTTCTTTGGCAACTCATGGCTTCCTGTGATTAGAAAATGGAGGGATCAAACAAAGCAGATAACTACAGTAAACAAGCAGCTGCCCAAGGTTTGTTTTTATATGTAACACCCTATTTTCAGATTCAGGTGATATTGACAAAAAAAAATACACCAAAAGAATAAAAATAGCTACTGCCCTGTAATTTTATTTCTGACTTCTAGAAATGCAACTCTTCTACAAAGGCGTTCATTATTGCTCTGTTGACACAATCTGGGTTCATTTTCTGCTGTTTGTATTTCTCAGTGATCCAGTCAGGGATCTCTACCCAGATATTTGTTTCTCACAGTGGTCTGGGATCTGTCCTCCAGCATCTGTGCAGACATTTATGCAGGAGTTGCATACAGCAATGTATTATGGAGAAAACAAAGTATTGCCACAGCACAGGGAGACATTCCTATCACATTCTTACCAAAACTCATGCTATATGGCAGAAAGAAGGCAGCAGGTTTTCCTGGGGAAAAGACTTCAACCTTCCACAATGTGTGACAGTGCGTCCAAGGACACAGCACACAAAGCTACTAACAAGTATAATGAATTCTCTTTCGATTGGAAAGATCATCTGCTGGACCACTGTACGCTCCCTTTAACACCCCCTACTCAGGCACACCATTCCTCCTCAAAGCTGCCAACAGCTATTAGATGCAGACGAGCAAGACAGCGACTGGTGTCACACACCTTCCCAGTGACAATGAACTTTGTGATGCTTAGACCAGTACAAATCTGGCCGTGGCAATTTCCAGAAAGCATCTAGCAGCTCCTGGAATGGGAGAAGAGGTAAGGTAGCTGTTACTTAACAGTTTCAGAACACATAATGTTGTTGGTAATTTTCATATATATATACACACACACACATATGTACATATATATCTATATGTACGTGTATATTTGTAAGTTGATAATATGACTTGAATATGCTGCTATAAAAAGTATTTTGGCAATTTTTCCATTAAAAAGCATACAGAAATAGATAGCAAAACCAAAACTACATAACTTCTTAAGCCAACTTTTGATTTAACTGCTAATTAAACTATTATGCATCATGCATCTATGTGTATTATACACAGAAAATAAAAATTATCAGGATACAAAAATGTTACAGCAAAAGGAACAGAAAACACCACCATTTAGAACAATATATTTAGAAAGAAAGACTTGTAAAAGCAAAGCCAAGAGCAGATGGCTCACATGAAGAGCGCAGACCTCTACAGATGTCTGCTTAGCTAGAATTACAGCATGCCACAATGTAGAATATTAAACCTGGCATTTTACTGCTATTGCAAAGATAATGATTTCATCAGCAATGTACAAAGATAACCTTAAAACTTAGCAAAGTGATAAAGGGTAACTCTACTGGATTTTCTCTGTTTCAGCAACACATGCATGCACAAAGATACACCAGCTTTTTAATATCCATTATTAGGTGCAAATTGGATAACAAGCCATTATGATCTCTTTTTAGAGTATTCAAATAATATTTCCTTCACTAAGAAGAAGTTATATGTATGACTATTTTCTATTAATTATACATAAAGAAGGATTACTATTAGCCATTTTAGTTGCTTTTTCAAAGACTTTACTTGTAAGTGTTGAACAAAACCACTACTCTATTTTCTTGTTTGCTCGTATGTTTGAATATGTAGCTATGAGACAGATTTCAGAAAAGACTGTTATGCACCATGTTAATTATTGATGAGTGATTAGCTGCACAAAAATTGCATCTTTTAAACACAGCTTTCTGAGATTATTGAAAAGAAGTCCATGCCTGAAGAATCAAGTTGCATTTTTTTTCCATTTACTTACATCCTTGAACTCTTGGCAAGGAAAATGATTCACAGAATTAAACAGAACACAAAAAATAACTCTAATGGCTTTTTAAAATTTAAAGCATTATAGAATAAATTTCATTCTGAAAGTTAGAATGAAATTCAAGTTCAACTTGACTCAATTTTTATGCATTAGTTCACTGGAAGATTGTGTAAAGTCCATTTTAACCCCACCTAAATAAAAAGGTTTTTAAGAGATTTGTATGGAACATATGCCATTATATTACCAACCTTGACAGCAAAGATCAAGCCAACAATCAGCATTCTCTCTATAGACTATTCAGAGTGCTTGGAAGCACACTATTTAGAAATTAAATGTTCAGTTCAAAATCAAATGTAAGTTGTAGTGCACTAAATATACCATGCGCACAATGAGGCACAGGATCTCTGAATGATGTAGTATTATATGCCAATATTAGCATGTTAATAACCATGGAAACAGAGTCTCTACATAAAATTTTAATTAGAAGTTATGAAGATGCTGTATTTTCTTAGAAATTTTTACTGGGCAGTATTAAAATCAAGAGCCTTACTAAATCACACAGGAAAACAGGCAAAGAGTAGTAATAGGGTGAGGGAATTCACATTTTGTCTTTTTTGTAAAGCATAGATATTGAGTGCAGTATTTCACTAGGCATTACATTGATTAATATATAACAACTCAGAAGTAGTAATATTACTGTAGCAATTTATATTTCATAGTATATTGTAGTAATAATATTATTGTTGCCAGGCAGTATCATTTAAATGATACCATTTTACTCCTATGACTCCTCACCTACTGGAGTCTAACAAACATGTTAAACCACCTTCTGGAATTGTCTGACTACAGAGGAAAGCTGGTGATACCAGAATCACTGAATGCAAGTTAACTCTTGTCTCAAGTAAACTGTATGCAAGCAGCAAATATTCAGCTAATCCTCCACTGTGATGAAGACTGCTCACCAGATATTCACCCCTTAATAGAACTGCCTTTACTACCAAAAAAAAAAAAAAAAAAAAAAAAAAAAAAAAAGATGCATCCTTGTCTTCTATTAACTAAGACATAGCAACTTCACAAGGCAAAACCCCCAGGAAAAACAGCTGCTACATACGTTAATACAAAGAATAAAAAAAGCTGTAAAATAGATCACTGTTCTAATACATATATAAATATGAACCACAGAGGATGACTCTATAAAAATAAACAGACAAATCAGCAAGTCTATAAAGGCACTTGCGATCAACATTTACTCTCAAGCAGTAACAGAATTGATGAACAGAAGCAACCAGAGCAAACTGCACCAAAAGTGTTCTAAAGAGTACCAGATCTGATGCATAATTTCATCAGATGTGTGGGATTTAAGAACATCAAAACCACAGGAACACTCCTATCCTAACCCCAAATACAGAGTGCCATTCAGCGAGTACTCTAGTAGGACCCTGATTCAGCACACTGCAGCTCAATGAACTGCCACATTCATCCAATAAAGGGTTTTTTTGTGGCTTTACAGGGGAGATTTTTTCAATGAAGAACTGTCACTTGACTAGTACCCTCAAAATAACTCCTCTTCTCTACTCTTGTTTTCTTCTTTATTTCTCCTACTACTGAAAAGGGAAAAATTGGAAAAGATAGTGAATTTAAAGTAACCCTAGCCAGAGAATCAGAGCATCAGCTGAGGTCAGAAGGGACCTGCTCAGCACCACGGCCAGTCAGGCTTAGACCACCTCCAAGGATGGAGATTCTATCTCCCACCTGGCAACCTTCACCAGCGTTCAGTCACACTGACTAACATTTTTCTTAAGTTTGAACAAGTTCCCTGTATGTCAGTTTATGCTCAACGATTGTTGTCCTTTTGCTGGATACCACCAAGAAAAGTCCAGCTCCATCTTATTTAGACCCTCCCATCAGCTATTTACATACAGCAATAAGAAATCCCTGAGGCTTCTCTTCTCCAGGCAAAACAAATCTTAGTGCTCCCAGCCTTTCCTCATATGAGAGATGCTTCAGTCCTTTCACCACCTTTGGGCCTCTTCACTGGACTCGCTCCCCTAAGTTCACATCTGTTTTGCACTGGGGAACCAGAAGGATCATCTCCCACAACCTACTGGCAACACTCTTCCTAATGCGGCCCCATGATGCTGTTGGCTGCCTTTGCCAAACAGGCATACTGCTCACACGTGGCCAGCTTGTTGTCCCCCAGAGTCCCCACATCCAGAGTAAAAGAATTACATTTTTCCATAGTTATCAGAAAAGAAGACATAAGCGACACACACCACGAAAGTGCCATTACACCTTTTACTTTAAAGAACCACCCTATTAAAAGAAAATTGCTGCCCATCACTGTTTCTAAACCATGAAACTGTAGGTTTTTTGACCTTCCTGTGAGAACTGGGTGCAGGATAACGCCCCAAGCAATCTAAGGAAACAGATTTATGAAGAGCTTATTAAGACACAGCAAATTCTATTTTCTACTATTTTTCATTATGACTGACAAGCAGGATATTCTGTTTGTGCATTCTTGATTCCAATTGATCTGTACCAAATGAAAGAAAAAAATCATATATAGGTTAGAGACAGGACATTATCTCAACAGAATAATGATCAGAATCCACTATTTTTAACTATATACCAACACTTAATTTTTAATTCTACTGATCTGTTGTTTAAATTGCTATATTCTGGAATATTGGAATACGTATTTTGAAGTTCTCAAAACCAATTCTGTGGTTGAAGTCTGTTCTTGAGAAGTTTATGATGTGGAAGAAATGCCATTTAAGATAGACTAGAAGACTGCCATAAATAAAGATACCACAAATCTAAATAAAGTTAAAGGACAGACCCTCCCTATTCATTATTAAATAAGAAAAACAACCAAAACAAAACCCCCAGTCTTCAAAATGAGACACTAGTACACTAAGCTGATATGTCCCAAACTCAGTATTTCTTCCTTTCTTCATTTCTTCCCTTATGCCTTCAAAAATAACTAATAATATGTATGGCAGATTGGTGTTTTGATTTCCTCAAATACAGGAAAAAAAGAATGTTAATATGAAAACTTGCATATCTTTAAATGGGAAAGGAACAGAAAGGTAATTTATTAATGGAAGTTGACAGTCTTCATTTGGTCTTTCCATGAAAAATACATTAAACCTACAAAAAAAAAAAAAAAAAAAAAAAAAAAACAATTTTTTCCATTTA